TCCACGAGACGGCCACGAGACGTGTGTGTGACAAGCAAGTCCAATATTCCAGAGACGGCGTGTGTGACAAGCAAGTCCAGATATTCCATGAGACGTGTGTGACAAGCAAGTCCAGATATTCCACGAGACGGCGTGTGTGACAAGCAAGTCCAGAATATTCCACGAGACGGCGTGTGTGACAAGCAAGTCCAGATATTCCACGAGAGACGGCGTGTGTATTCCATGACAAGACAAGCAAGTCCACATATTCCATGAGACGGCGTGTGTGACAAGCAAGTCCAGATATTCCACGAGACGGCGTGTGTGACAAGCAAGTCCAGATATTCCATGAGACGGCGTGTGTGACAAGCAAGTCCAGATATTCCATGAGACGGCGTGTGTGTGACAAGCAAGTCCAGATATTCCACGAGACGGCGTGTGTGACAAGCAAGTCCAGATATTCCACGAGACGGCGTGTGTGACAAGCAAGTCCAGATATTCCATGAGACGGCGTGTGTGACAAGCAAGTCCAGATATTCCATGAGACGGCGTGTGTGACAAGCAAGTCAAGTCCATGAGACGAGATATTCCATGAGACGGCGTGTGTGACAAGCAAGTCCAGATATTCCATGGAACGGCGTGTGTGACAAGCAAGTCCAGATATTCCATGAGACGGCGTGTGTGACAAGCAAGTCCAGATATTCCATGAGACGGCGTGTGTGACAAGCAAGTCCAGATATTCCATGAGACGGCGTGTGTGACAAGCAAGTCCAGATATTCCATGAGACGGCGTGTGTGACAAGCAAGTCCAGATATTCCATGAGACGGCGTGTGTGACAAGCAAGTCCAGATATTCCATGAGACGGCGTGTGTGACAAGCAAGTCCAGATATTCCATGAGGCGGTGTGACAAGCAAGTCCAGATATTCCATGTGTGTGACAAGCAAGTCCAGATATTCCATGAGACGGCGTGTGTGACAAGCAAGTCCAGATATTCCATGAGACGGCGTGTGTGACAAGCAAGCAAGTCCAGATATTCCACGAGACGGCGTGTGTGACAAGCAGTCCAGGCGTGTTCCATGAGACGGCGTGTGTGACAAGCAAGTCCAGATATTCCATGAGACGGCGTGTGTGACAAGCAAGTCCAGATATTCCATGAGACGGCGTGTGTGACAAGCAAGTCCAGATATTCCATGAGACGGCGTGTGTGACAAGCAAGTCCAGATATTCCACGAGACGGCGTGTGTGACAAGCAAGTCCAGATATTCCATGAGACGGCGTGTGTGACAAGCAAGTCCAGATATTCCATGAGACGGCGTGTGTGACAAGCAAGTCCAGATATTCCATGAGACGGCGTGTGTGACAAGCAAGTCCAGTCCACGAGATATTCCATGAGACGGCGTGTGTGACAAGCAAGTCCAGATATTCCACGAGACGGCGTGTGTGACAAGCAGTCCAGATATTCCACGAGACGGCGTGTGTGACAAGCAAGTCCAGATATTCCATGAGACGGCGTGTGTGACAAGCAAGTCCAGATATTCCACGAGACGGCGTGTGTGACAAGCAAGTCCAGATATTCCACGAGACGGCGTGTGTGACAAGCAAGTCCAGATATTCCACGAGACGGCGTGTGTGACAAGCAAGTCCAGATATTCCACGAGGACGGCGTGTGTGACAAGCAAGTCCAGATATTCCACGAGACGTGTGTGACAAGCAAGTCCAGATATTCCACGAGACGGCGTTCCATGAGACGGCGTGTGTGTGACAAGCAAGTCCAGATATTCCATGAGACGGCGTGTGTGACAAGCAAGTCCAGATATTCCATGAGACGGCGTGTGTGTGACAAGCAAGTCCAGATATTCCATGAGACGGCGTGTGTGACAAGCAAGTCCAGATATTCCACGAGACGGCGTGTGTGACAAGCAAGTCCAGATATTCCACGGGCGTGTGTGACAAGCAAGTCCAGATATTCCATGAGACGGCGTGTGTGACAAGCATAGTCCAGAGATTCAAGCAAGTCCAGAGAGACGGCGTGTGTGACAAGCAAGCCAATTCCAGATATTCCATATTCCATGAGACGGCGTGTGTGACAAGCAAGTCCAGATATTCCATGAGACGGCGTGTGTGACAAGCAAGTCCAGTATTCCATGAGACGGCGTGTGTGACAAGCAAGTCCAGATATTCCACGAGACGGCGTGTGTGACAAGCAAGTCCATGAGACGGCGTATTCCACAAGACGGACGGCGTGTGTGACAAGCAAGTCCAGATATTCCACGAGACGGCGTGTGTGACAAGCAAGTCCAGATATTCCATGAGACGGCGTGTGTGACAAGCAAGTCCAGATATTCCACGAGACGGCGTGTGTGACAAGCAAGTCCAGATATTCCATGAGACGGCGTGTGTGACAAGCAAGTCCAGATATTCCATGAGACGGCGTGTGTGACAAGCAAGTCCAGATATTCCATGAGACGGCGTGTGTGACAAGCAAGTCCAGATATTCCACGAGACGGCGTGTGTGACAAGCAAGTCCAGATATTCCATGAGACGGCGTGTGTGACAAGCAAGTCCAGATATTCCATGAGATATTCGAGACGGTGTGACAAGCAAGTCCAGATATTCCACGAGACGGCGTGTGTGACAAGCAAGTCCAGATATTCCACGAGACGGCGTGTGTGACAAGCAAGTCCAGATATTCCACGAGACGGCGTGTGTGACAAGCAAGTCCAGATATTCCACGAGACGGCGTGTGTGACAAGCAAGTCCAGATATTCCATGAGACGGCGTGTGTGACAAGCAAGTCCAGATATTCCACGAGACGGCGTGTGTGACAAGCAAGTCCAGATATTCCATGAGACGGCGTGTGTGACAAGCAAGTCCAGATATTCCATGAGACGGCGTGTGTGACAAGCAAGTCCAGATATTCCATGAGACGGCGTGTGTGACAAGCAAGTCCAGATATTCCATGTGTGACAAGCAAGTCCAGATATTCCATGAGACGGCGTGTGTGACAAGCAAGTCCAGTTCCAGAGACGGCGTGTGTGACAAGCATCCAGATATTCGGAGACGGCGTGTGTGACAAGCAAGTCCAGATATTCCATGAGACGGCGTGTGTGACAAGCAAGTCCAGATATTCCATGAGACGGTCCAGATATTCGTGTGTGACAAGCAAGTCCAGATATTCCATGAGACGGCGTGTGTGACAAGCAAGTCCAGATATTCCACGAGACGGCGTGTGTGACAAGCAAGTCCAGATATTCCATGAGACGGCGTGTGTGACAAGCAAGTCCAGATTCCATGAGACGGCGTGTGTGACAAGCAAGTCCAGATATTCCATGAGACGGCGTGTGTGACAAGCAAGTCCAGATATTCCATGAGACGGCGTGTGTGACAAGCGAGTCCAGATCCAGATATGACAAGCAAGTCCATGAGACGGCGTGTGTGACAAGCAAGTCCAGATATTCCATGAGACGGCGTGTGTGACAAGCGAGTCCAGATGCCGCTTAGAACAATATTCCATAATCATCATCATGTAGCAGGTCCTTTGCAGAACGTCGCTCTTGTCAGGGCCTGTCTGAGAAAAAATTTATTTGGTCTCTCGCCATCTCTCCCGCCTTGTGCGCTTTATTACCCAAGGTGTCCCTTTTTTCCTATGCCCATCTTCGTGGTGGTCAGCAGGTGCCTTTTCTTCATGGTACCACGCCTTCTGCTATAATTCCCCCCCCCCCCCCACCAATCCAGCGTGTCCTTTGATGTGGCCAAAATATTTCTGTCCCAGAGGCACGATGTTGTTTGTTAGCCAATTTTTCCTTGACGTTCAGATCATTTAAGATTTCAGTATTTATTTTCTTCTCTGTCCATGATATTCTGAGAATCTTTCTATAGAATTTCTGCTCAAAATCCCCTTTTGTCTTTCTTAAGGACTACTAGATAGTCCAACGTATGCTCTCAAAATGTTGACTATGATATCCCTACTGGTGATTAACCACATATTCCACAAAATGTTGACTATGATTTCCCTACTGGTGATTAACCAAATATTCCACAAAATGTTGACTATGATTTCCTTACTGGTAATTAACCACATATTACATAAAATGTTGACTATGATTTCCCTACTGGTGATTAACCACATATTCCACAAAATGTTGACTATGATTTCCCTACTGGTGATTAACCACATATTCCACAAAATGTTGACTATGATTTCCTTACTGGTGATTAACATAATATTCCACAAAATCAGCATGAAAGTTCAGGACTATTGTCGCCATTGCATGTGGACACGTTTAATCTCAAACGATTCGCCCTAAACGTGTCTGTAATAATCCTCTCCTTGATATTAAATTGGTTCATGTAAATGCCAGTTTGGCCAGGAGGTGTTGATTTTGGATCTTCTCCCAGGCTGATTTCAAAAATGAAAAATGTCGATTCACTATTGATATTGGCTCCCATATCGACCCAAGCTTGAAACGTGTACATACGACATTCCCACATTAGCTCCGTCCCCTTCTTTAGCAGCCAAAGAGTCGTCCTGTTATAACAGTGCCAGTTACATCCTGATTAAAAGGACACCGCTGTTTCCCCCTCCAGCGTGAAGTTGTTGACTATACCTACTGAGTGACGATAGGTTTATACAAATCTGAATCGAGACTCACTTGCCGAATGCCATTCTGGCGTTAAAAAAAAAAAAACTCGTTTTCGTTTAAAAAAAAAATGAAATTTATAATTAATATTACATATCATATATATGTTGGCGTCTGTGGCTTAGGCGTTGTGAACGTGTATGTAATGCCGGGGTGCCGGGTTCGATCCCAGCTGCGGGCCGTGCGCTGGTTTCGATAGTGGTATCGAGAAGCTGACCGTTCAGTAACAATGGCAAACTACTGGTTGTAAATTTGCCTCGAAAAACCACAACAGCCAAAAAATGCTGGCGGTTGGTTCTGCAACGTCCTGTAAAGGATACGCAACTAACTATACACACACACAAATATTTTAACCTTTTTTTAATTGACAGATAGAAACATGAGTATGAGGGCTGGACACAAGGACATCTTTGCTATCCTATCTGCTATTATGATGTCTGTAGTCATGGCAGACTATTGCGTCTACGAGGTAAGTCTAACCCCCTCTTCCCACGCCAAAAAAAAAAAAAAAAAATAATAATAATAAATAAATAAAAAAAAAATATTGACAATGAGGGATTCCCGGGCACCATTTTTGTAGGGGGTAAAAGAATACAGTTATTTACCCCCCCCCCCCCCCCCCTTTACCCCCCCCCCCCCTTTTTTTTTTAAACAAACGTATTTTAAAAGTCGACTAATTAAGGGTGTTTCTTTTGGGTGCAGTCGGGGTGCATTTGTCTGAGAGGCAAGAAACCAACAGTTTGCACACAAATAAGCCAGATTTGTAAAACAGATATGCAAAAAAAAATCTAACTTTCTGGAACAAGACTAAAATCTAGGAGTGGACGAACCGCTAGAACTTTCAGCAGGAGTTTACAGCCAGTGAATACAATAAAGTATAGGAACAAGAAGAAAAAGAAGAATAAGAAGAAGAAGAAGAAGAAGAAGAAGAAGAAGAAGAAGAAGAAGAAGAAGAAGAAGAAGAAGAAGAAGAAGAAGAAGAAGAAGAAGAAGAAGAAGAAGAAGAAGAAGAAGAAGAAGAAGAAGAAGAAGAAGAAGAAGAAGAAGAAGAAAGAAGAAGAAGAAGAAGAAGAAGAAGAAGAAGAAGAAGAAGAAGAAGAAGAAGAAGAAGAAGAAGAAGAAGAAGAAGAAGAAGAAGAAGAAGAAGAAGAAGAAGAAGAAGAAGAAGAAGAAGAAGAAGAAGAAGAAGAAGAAGAAGAAGAAGAAGAAGAAGAAGAAGAAGAAGAAGAAGAAGAAGAGAAGAAGAAGAAGAAGAAGAAGAAGAAGAAGAAGAAGAAGAGGAAGAAGAGAAGAAGAGGAAGAAGAAGAAGAAGAAGAAGAAGAAGAAGAAGAGAAGAAGAAAGAAGAAGAAGAAGAAGAAGAAGAAGAGAAGAAGAAGAAGAAGAAGAAGAAGAAGAAGAAGAAGAAGAAGAAGAAGAAGAAGAAGAAGAAGAAGAAGAAGAAGAAGAAGAAGAAGAAGAAGAAGAAGAAGAAGAAGTAGAAGACGAGGATGATGGTTATTATGTAGTGTCTGCTTTATATAAACATGTGGACATATATACACAGCCAGAGAGAAAGAAAGACAAATGACAGCTATAGTCATTGACATAAACAGATAGACACAACTGCTGACATGAAAGAAAAAAACACCTAAATTCAGTCAGGTAAACATAGGAATAGACAGGCTTCTGTATATAGATGAATGAAAATGTATGAATAAAGAGGCAAACATTAACAGAATGACAGATAGTTACAAAGAAAGAGAGACAGACAAGTAGACACTCAGTTAAATAGACACATACCAGTAATACATGACAGACAGACAGACAGATCGGCAGACAGGCAGATGGACAGAGAGATAGGTGGATAGGTAGGTAGGTAGATAGGTGAACAGACAGACAGACTCAAAATTTCATGTTTCCTGCAATGATTACCTGATGATTGCAGATGTGTACGTGTGACGACGGCTTCGTCGACTGCACCAGTCGAGGGTTGACAGCCATCCCTCCCTTGGGACCACCTGGAGTAGAGCCAGTCACATACATCCAGTTTAATGTCAGTTCTATATCATCGCATCGTATTTTGATATTAGTTGTTTATTATGACACTGTGATTTGGAGAGTTAGTAATGCATCATGCGATTGTTTTCTTTTAAGTGTTAGTTGTATGTAATGTCACCGTGTTTTGATGCATGCAGCTCTCAAGATGTCTTCTCCATCTGCTAACTCTACTCGCTAGCTCACTTCTCTATGTATATTTTGGGGTCTTCCTTTATTTCTATGCCCCTGTGGGTTTCACTGCAAAGACATTCTAGTTATAATGTTCTCAGGCTTTCTCAGCGTGTGTCGTATCTAACACCAGCGTCCTTTCTTTACCTCTTGGTCCATTGGAACTTGTTTAATTCTCTCCCAAAGCTCTACATAAGTGATTCTATCATACCATTGAATCCCCTATATTCTGAGCAGGCCTCACAGCTAATGAATGTATGTAATTTATTATTAATTACCTTAGTTGTTTTCCAACAGTACTGATTTGACATTATAATTGAAAATATCAATTTAGTATTAGATTTTATTGCAGTGCTATGAAAGCTCATCTTGCCTTTTGTTTTTCTTATTCTTATATCTCCAACAGTTCCCTCACTGAGTAAGGGCGTTTTCATTCGCAGTCAGAGTGCATCTGTCTGAGAGGCGAGGCGTCAACAATCTGCAAACAAATAAGCCAGATCTGTGAAGCAAAACTCATGAAGAACCTGACATTTCATTTTGTGAATACGCCTTTCACCAAATAACCTTGAACGACGTTTTATTTGGGGTTTTGTTCACTAAGAGTATGACTTTCCACAAGAAAATCTTGACATTACATTACATAGTTTTTCTTTGACACCCCCCACCCCCCCTACCCCCAATCCCTTCCCCCCTCCCGTTGAACCCATTATAGTGTGCTCATTAACATTACTTCCTGAAATTATCGAAAATTAATCTTTGAAAACTCTACAACACAGTTTCATGATGAAAATAAATATTGTAATAGGGATTTTTAAAAAAAATCTAAATGTGATCGATAATGGAAAAAACAAACATATTTTCTTGACATCATTGATGTCTGGAGTAAGTATACAAAATTTATTACAATCTATTTATTAGTTTCCAAACTATTATTCTATTTATATTGTTGATATTTTGACCGGACTATGAGCATTATGAATATGTCCGACGTGTTGGGAAGATTATCTTGAAATGAGCTAAGAACAATTCATGAAAACCATAAAGAAAATTCAGAAGGAATGTATGCGACATTTAACAGAAGTGATGAATAGTCTCTATCGCGGATAGCTGCAGTATTGATTCATTATATTTGATTTGTTAATTGAGCTTTCTATATCCAATAGTGCTACTATAGAAACCATATATGTCATTAACACAGGCTACTCAACTAGCAAGCGGCGTCCGTGGATTAGGCGCTGCGAGTCCGACTCGTAATTCCAACGAACCGCGATCGAAACCCACTGCTGGCTGCGTGGATTTTTATCATGGTATGTGGCGTCGCAGGTAGAACCAGCCTAAAATGGGTACCAGGATGGCTGTCAGGGGAAAGTAAAGACGGCCGGCGTAATGCTGACCATATTACCCACCCAGTGTCGATTGGTCTGTAAAAAATATGGGACGCTCCTCTCATATTCCCAATGAGCCTAAGGCGTGAAAAGGGATCTTTACTTACTTTTACGCAACCAGAAAAAGATATGAAACTTCATGTAACTCCTCTCTGTGAAGTTTTAGGGCATTAGCAGCGGGGGACAAGACAAAGAAGAAGGAGTGTTACTTAAAATTTCCCTGGATAAAAACCCGAACTGCTTTAAACATCAACGTTTCAGGATAAAAAAAGTTTAATTATAAATGGTCCCGAAAACTTTAAATAGCATCATAATTTACGGTTATGTTTCCTATCTTTGTTCACAGGGCAACCAGATTACATCAATACCCGCAGGAAGTCTCCCAGCTGGGCTTACACAGCTCACTTTCAACGACAACCCTATACAGACCATAGACGACGATGCCTTCATTGACTCTGCATCTACTCTACAAACTCTGGCTCTTACTTTAGTTCCACATTCAAGAATTCCCGATGCTCTGCTGAAATTAAAGAGTCTTACCTTCTTTGAACTCTACAACACCGACGTTGGTGATTGGAATGAAGAGGTGATGAAGTATCTGGCACCAAAACTACAGTCGATATCTTTGGGCAATGTCAGTGTACACACATGGCCTGACTGGTTTCAGTACTGCAACCAAGTGACCGAGTTGACGCTCGATAGCAGTAACATTACATCTATACCGGACAATGGACTGGACGGTATGGCCAGTAGTTTAATGAGCCTGTCTCTTTATAACAACAACTTAACTTCTGTCCCCAAAGCGATTTCCAAATTAGTCAATATCACGGATTTGTATGTAGACAGCAACAAGATAACAGACCTTACCTGGTTGCCAAAAAATGCCAGACTGGATACGCTAGGTTTAAGTAATAATAAAATCTCCAATGGAACTCATTTAAGTAACGCTCTGAAGCCTTTCGGAGAATTTCTGAGCGACCTTGATTTGGTAGGCAATGAGCTGACGGCAATTCCTGATTTACATTTCTTGACAATTAACGGTGTTGAATTATCCTTCAATAAGATTTATGATCTAAATGCAGGATCTCTGCAACCTGCTCTTCACGGGTTGACTCTGGGGTACAATCTTCTAACTTCAATTCCAAGCGTGGTTTTTCGTGTCCAATCTCTGCGCTCGTTACTGATGCCGTCAAACTTAGTAACCCGTGTGCAAGCATCGTTAATTCCTGCGACATTGACGTATCTTGATCTCCAACACAATCTACTTACTGAACTAGCAGACACGAGTTTTCCAGAAAATTCCAGCCTAATTTATTTGTACCTGAATAATAATCCTCTAACGACAATATCCGAACACGCCTTTGCTAATCTTGTTCAGCTAGAAGAGCTCCACTTGGGTGGTACAAGACTGACTCGCCTACCGCTCAGTCTGTCATCGCTCCACAATTTAACTACATTTGATGTCAGCGACATTACTCGTCTTGTCTGCACCTGCCTGGAGAAAGATTTAGGGCCCTGGATCAAGTCCTTGACGGCAGAAAAAGTTTTAGGAACATGCGGCCTAATGAGTGTGTACGACTTTTTCTCTTTGCTAAGCCCGGGCTGTCCGAATTAAGTTTTTTTTTCCCCGCTGCTTTTGTAATGTGTTTCAAATTATTGAAAAACACGAGATATAAAAGCAACCAATTGTTAATAATTTTTTTTATTATATCATTTTCTGAATTAATTCTTCAGCTGCTCCAACTTTGAATGGACTTCGTAGGCAGCAGGAAGTGAATGTGCCCAGACAAAACAGGCAGTTATGCTTAAATGCGGTTGATTTTGTATTTCAGTTGAATAATTTATTTGTTTTATTTGGTTAAATTACCACTCTGGTTTGCACCTGACGAGACACGGCGTAATATGAAAGGGAATAAACTGTGCAATCTATCGTCTGAGTTTTCTTTATTTAAATTTGCAACAAAGACACATTGCTAATATTTCCAGTTGATAAACTTTGCAGTAGTAATTTCCCCCTGGTCTCTGGGTAGTGAGATCGAACGCCCCTGTGCATTGTTGCGCACGTAAAAAAATGTTTTGGCAGTTGAAAATCGAAAAGAGTAGCCTAACGGCACAGCCAGGGCAAAATTTGGAGTTAAAAATAGACCCTCAGTATTTCAGGACCCTTGCCGGTGATACAGAACCTGTGCACTGTGCTGAGCTTCTTCGGACTCAAACGAGTTGAAAGAAGAACGAAGCACTTATAAGTCGCTACCAGTGTGCCATGATGTTAATCCGTTGTTCAAACCCTCAAACCTCAAACTTTGCAGTTTATTCGCTCCTAGTTTGTCGTTCTTGCTGGTTCTGCAAAATTTATATAATATATATACTAGGGGTGGGGTGGGATGGGGGTTGGAGAGGGGGGATGAGGGGGTGGATGAGGGGTGGGATGAGGTGGGGGGGTGGGCTAAGGGGTGGGATGGGGGTAGGATGAGGGGTGGGATGAGGGTGGGATGGGGTGGGATGAGGGGTGGGATGGGGGGGTGGAATGAGGGGTGGGATGGGGTGGGATGAGGGGTGGGCTAAGGGGTGGGATGGGAGTGGGATGAGGGGTGGGATGGGGGTGGGATGAGGGGTGGGATAAGGGGTGAGATGGGGGGTGGGGTGAGGGGTGGGATAAGGGGTGGGATGGGTGGGATGAGGGGTGGGATGAAGGGTGGGATGGGGATGGGATAAGGTGGTGGGATAAGGTGATTCTTGGTGGTTCTGCTAAATTTATATATATATATATATTAGGGGTGGGGTGGGAGGGGGGTGGGATGAGGGGTTGGATGAGGGGGGATGAGAAGGGGGGGTGGAATGAGGGGTGGGATGAGGGGTGGCATAAGGGGTGGGATGGGGGTGGGATGAGGGGTGGGATGTGGTGGGATAAGGGGTGGGATGGGGTGGGATGAGGGGTGGGATGAGGGGGGGTGGAGTGAGGGGTGGGATAAGGGGTGGGATGGGGTGGGATGAGGGGTGGGCTAAGGGGTGGGATGGGAATGGGATGAGGGGTGGGATGGGGGAGGGATGAGGGGTGGGATAAGGGGTGGGATGAGGGGTGGGATAAGGGGTGGGATGAGGGGTGGGATAAGGGGTGGGATGAGGGGTGGGATGAGGGGGGTGGAATGAGGGGTGGGATAAGGGGTGGGATGGGGTGGGATGAGGGGTGGGATGGGGGTGGGATGAGGGTTGGGATGAGGGGTGGGATGAGGGGTGGGATGGGGTGGGATGAGGGGTGGGATGAGGGGCGGGATGGGGTGGGATGAGGTGTGTGATGGGATGGGATGAGGGGTGGGATGAGGGGTGGGATAAGGGGTGGGATGAGGGGTGGGCTAAGGGGTGGGATGAGGGGTGGGATGAGGGGTGGGATGAGGGGTGGGATGAGGGGTGGGATGAGGAGTGGGATGAGGGGTGGGATGAGGGGTGGGATGGGGGTGGGATGAGGGGTGGGATGGGTGGGATGAGGGGTGGGATGAGGGGGGTGGGAGATGTTCATTTAAAAAAAAACCTGAAGAGTATACACAATGAAACAGTCAAGATGACTTACTGTGGCTTTGTATTAGCAAAAAACAGATGGTCAGCGACACCAATGAAGTAGAGTGTTGAGCTATTGGAGCTCTCTCGCTCGCTGAGGTACGTGCAATCAACTTAGTGCGTTTACAAATTGGTGCCGTTGAATTTTTGATAATTTCTGGGTAATTACTTTTTCAGCACCGTCAATTTGCTTTTTGGTGTGTGTGCATGGGCTACAATTTTCATCTGGACGTGTTTGTTGTTTACATAATTAATATTTACATTGCTCAGCTGTATCGAAACAGACGTTTTCTATGTTATTTTCAACTCCTGTATAATTTAAGGAAACAAAACACACTTGACAGTACCGATATGACTTACCCTAACCCTAACCACATAAGTTACGCCCCTGCAACTTGCCACAAGACTCACGACAATCCAGCGCACTCATTTTATAGTGCGTTGCGACACTTTCATTCAGAATCTATGTAAAATGCAAGAAATTCGGCTTTTTACGAAAGATCGATTGGTTACATTTCAACGTTGAGCTGTACAACTCTTCGATGTAGATAACTTTTAAAAGTCAATCCAGCAAGGATCATTGTGTGTTTATAAACATCTAATAAGCAACAATGAATTATAATTACTTGTTACGCGGGAAACAAATCTGATATAAGGTTGAGAATGAAGTAAATATTAATATATAAATACATCAATTTATATTCCACTACAGGTGAGCTATATTTTTTTTAAACGTTGACGCCATTTTGTGAACGCGATTTAGTAAAGTTTGTTGTTGTTGTTGTTGTTGTTTTTGTTGTTGTCAAGCCAGGAGGAGATAAAGTTTCTGCTCAGCGATATAGAATGCAATATAACCAGACTAACCTTGTGGTTCGAATAGACATCGAGCATCAACACGTCAGCATATCAGGGACTCGACTGGATTTACTGAACGGGACATGCAGGAGTACGAGGGAAAGAAAGAGGTGATTTTTTTATATGCGTCAGCTACGGTAACACTCGTACTGTACAAATGATGCAATCTGAAGACCACTTATGAACTAATGTTGATATAAAACAGGATGTTTGCTTAAATAACATATGCAAGAATGTGCGAACGAGGAATCTTGGGGTGGGTCCAGCAAAGAAGAATATACAAGAAAAAGAGAACGACGTGTGTATACTTAGTGCTCTAGTGGAATAGTTCGCGTCTACACCTTTAAGACATTTGCTGCAGGAGACGGAGCACTTGCGGGTATGCCCGGTGATCTATGACGTAGATTCTTTAAACAGGCCGAGGCGGAAACGAACCTGTCAGCGTTAAAGGACAAGATACTGACAACGACAACGACAAGGAAATTGAAGCCCTAGTTAAGATCGTTAGACAGACGGACGGTTTTCATTATTGCGTCAAAACATACGACGGACGTATTGAATTATAAAGTAAAAAATGTATATATATATATATATATATATATATATATATATATATATATATATATATATATAATGAAATTTTATTATTTATATTAATACTTAAAATAAATGAGAACAAAAAACATATTTAAGTATTTATAACAGAAAGACATTTAAAAATAAAAGGCATCGCTTAAAAAAAAAACTAAAAACTAAAGGCATCTTCTAATTCCAATTCTTTTCAAGAAAGAATCAAAAACTTCACAACTTTCAACCTGCTGCTAGCTAGCCGAGGCTGCCAACAGTCTCCAGATATATTTGTGGTCTTGTTTATTTGCGCCACTTTCGTGGCCAAAGATCGGATATTCGTGCTGTCTCTGGGATTAATGCTTCTTTACCCCAAATCATACCTCTCATTTCCCATCCTGTTGTCAACTGTGTTCTTCTTGATCTTTCATTTGTGATGTGTCCTCCTTGGTTTCAGCCCCTTCTGATTTGGTCAGGCGTAGATTGTAGGAGAGCGAGCTTCTTAACACAACCCTTTGGACCACCATTTACAGTTCTAAAATTTTTAGTATTCAATTATGCCAAGAAGACTGACAACAGTTTTTAGGTCTAGATAGATCCGAAATTTTAAAAAATTCCGCTTCTGACCATTGTGGTCTTATACAAGGTCCGACAATTAAGTAATGAGACTAATTTCATAAAAAATAAAATAATCAACAGTTGAAGATATAAACTGTGTCTGATTCAAAGTAAGCCCCTTATGCATTGATACAGCGAGTGTCACTATCTAACAAACACTGGAATGACATCTGTAGTTCTTAAATTGTTATGGCCCTTAAAGTCGACGTTACGACCCCTTGGATGTCACCAATATCGTTAAAGAAGCGTCCGTTCAATCGTAACTTTAATTTTGGGAATATAAAATAATCACTGGAATAGAAATCTGGTGAATAAGGTGGAAGGCTGAGAACACACACTTGTTTTGGGGAAAAAATTCTTGTTTTGTTGATGTCTCTTGGGTACTCAACCCGCTGATGTTTTTGGTCATCAGACGAATGTGGTTCAAACCGGCAAGCAACTTTATTTTGCCACAATCTTGCACTAAAATGTTATGAATGGTCTCTCTATTAACACCAGATTCATCTGTCATTATCTTTACAGTAAAGCAATGATCTTCTCTTATCAGCTCTCTGACTTTTGCAATGTGTTCTTCGTTACGAACATAAATTTGGCATCCAGGTCTATGTGCATTAGTAATCATTTCCGAACCTCTTTTGAATCGTGAATACCACATGCAAATGTGTGCACGAGATAAACAATTATCCCCATAAACTTATTCATCGATTAAACTGTTTCAGTTGGCGCTTTCTGAGTTTTAGAAATAATTTAATGTTAGCTTTTTGCTCCGTGCTCATTACGTAACAATGCACCTCTGATTAGGTCAACAAAATAGCGGCTTGTTTGTCTGTTTATCGAGCAGCGGTGAAATGTTGCCTCTTTAGATTCCATGCTTTGCTTCGTAGATGGCATTTGTCTCTTGGCCATAATAAAATCAGCCTCATTACTTAATTGTCGGACCTTGTAGTTGTCTTCCTGCCATAAGAACGGGTTAATCATGACATGGAGATGTGTGTGAAATCTTAGGTGGAGCCTAATCTGACGTCATTTCTAGTCGAGCACATGATGATGGTGGTGACTATACAAAGTCTGTGACGTGTTCATTTACACAGACCAACAAATCTTATCTTGTTGCAAAAACTCCGATTAGTCTGTTTAAACCACCACATGTTGTGTGTAGAATCTTGCAGACAAGATTAGATTACCTACTAAAACTACTTTAATTTTCGTAACTTTAAAATCCTTCAACTGTTGAGAATTGATGACAAAAGTAAGTGTTTAGGTGTCCCAGTTTTAATGTTTTACAACTGTTGAGTATCGATATGTTGCGGAGTAGTGAGTGTTTAGTAAAGTTAAGGGCCCTTTTCCACGCTTCATGCGTTTTGGGTATATAGGGCCAGACCTATATTTTATACACAAATCGCAGTTGGTAGGTGATATGATCAACACTATGCCGATCGTCTTTACCTCCCAGGACTGTCCCTGGCACCCATTTAAGGCTGGGTGAACCTGGGGGTCAAGGTCATTTTTAAAAATGTCCGCCTCTCTCAGGACCCGCGACCCCTGACCTACGGATGCGAATGAGTGTGTAGGTGTCTCCAATGTAATGTCTTTCTGTTGGCAATTGATGTTTGAAGTAGCATTGTTTTAATATTTTTAATTTTAGTATCTTTCAAATATTGGCCACTGATGTCGAATATCAAGCACTGTAGATCCATAGTGCCAGTATCATGAAAACAGCAATCGACTTCACTAAGTTATAAAATTTAGTTGCGTATCCTTTACAGGACGTTGCAAAACCAACCCCATTTTTTTTTTTTTTTTTTTTTTTTTTTTTTTGCTATTGTGGTTTTTCTAGGCAAATTCTACGTTCAGCAGTTTGCCTTTGCTGCCTGCACGGTCAGCTCTCGGTACCACTGTCGAAGCCAATGCAAGACAAATCGTCTGCAGCTGGGATCGAACCCGACACCCTAGCGCGCTCGCAACGCCTAAGCCACAGACGCCGATAGTATAGTACATATCGTATAATTCAATTTTTTAAATTTTATATGTGTGTGCCATTTAACACATTACAACAACAACAATAACAAAAACAACAACAAATACTATTATTACTACTACTACTACTACTACTACTACTACTACTACTACTACTACTACTACTACTACTACTACTACTACTACTACTACTACTACTACTACTACTACTACTATTACTACTACTACTACTACTACTACTGCTGCTGCTACTACTACTACTGCTGCTACTACTACTACTACTACTACTACTACTACTACTACTACTACTACTACTACTACTACTACTACTACTACTACTACTACGGCTACTACTACTACTACTACTACTACTACTACTACTACTACTACTACTACTACTACTACTACTACTACACTACTACTACACTACTACTACACTACTACTACACTACTACTACTACTACTACTACTACTACTACTACTACTACTACTACTACTACTACTACTACCGCTAATACACCCACAAAACCACCACTGCTATTACTGCTGCTGCTGCTACTACTATTACTACTACTGCTGCTGCTACAACAACAACAACCACAACTACTAATTCTACAACTACGACTACCACCACCAATAATACTATTACTATTACTAATCCTACCACTACTACTGCTGCTACTACTCCTACTACTACTACTACTACTACTACTACTACTACTACTACAACTACTACTACTACTACTACTACTACTACTACTACTACTACTACTACTACAACTACTACTACTACAACTAATACTACTACTACTACTACTACTACTACTACTACTACTACTACAACAACAACTAGTACTACTAATATATATATTTTTTAATAATAATAATAAGAAGAAAGAGCTTACACACAGCTTGGGCCACTTGAAACTCTCTCCGCAAATGTGTAAGGGACTTGAACCTCCCTGCAATGTTTTCTTTTTGTCAGCGCCCCGACAGATGCTATAGCATGTCTAGAAGAAATGTGTTCTATAGTAGAGATGCGCGACTTTCAGAATGCATTTTTCTTTTTTTTTCATTGTCTCTTTCTTTTATTGTTTCTTTCTTTCATTTTCTTTCTTTTTCTTCCCTTCTTTATTTTTGCTTTGTTTCTTTCCTTTTCTTTCTTTTCTTACGTTTGTTTTTTGGTTTTCCATTCTTTTTGTTTGTTTGTTTGTTTGTTTGTTTGTTTGTTTGTTTGTTGTTTGTTTCTTTCTTTCTTTCTTTTTTCTTTCTTTCTTTCTTTCTTTCTTTCTTTCTTTCTTTCTTTCTTTCTTTCTTTCTTTCTTTCTTTCTTTCTTTCTTTCTTTCTTTCTTTCTTTCTTTCTTTCTTTCTTTCTTTCTTTCTTTCTTTCTTTCTTTCTTTCTTTCTTTCTTTTTTTATTCCTTTTTTTTCATTTCTTCTATCTTTCTTTTTTTCATTTTTCCTCAGTTCTTTCACCCGCTCTTTCATTTATTTTCTCTCCCCCACCCCTCCCCCTTTTCGTCACCCTACTATCCTCTCTCATCGCATTTAAACATTCCATATTAGTTGGACGAGAAAATCAGCAAATGTTTGTGAACTGAAAGCTAGAAACCTACAGTATGAGGGCTGGGCACTGGGAAGTCTTTGTTTTCCTGGCTGTTATCCTGGCGTCTGCTGACACGGCAAACGATTGCATCTACCAGGTAACTCTTGTTTTTAGATATTTATGCAAGTAGAATAACGTTAAAAGACTTTAAGACAAATAAGTAACACAGATACATACAATAAACAACAGAAATAAATGAGATTTTTAAATTAACATTTAAGTATACAAAGTACCAGACAGACAGACAGACAGACAGACAGACAGACAGACAGACAGACAGACAGACAGACAGACAGACAGACAGACAGACAGACAGACAGACAGACAGACAGACAGACAGACAGACAGACAGACAGACAGACAGACAGACAGACAGACAGACAGACAGACAGACAGACAGACAGACAGACAGACAGACAGACAGACAGACGACAGACAGACAGACAGACAGACACAGACACGAGACAGACCGACAGACAGACAGACAGACGACAGACAGACAGACAGACAGACAGACAGACAGACAGACAGACAGACAGACAGACCGGCCGGCCGGCCGGCCGGCCGGCCGACCGACCGACCGACCGACAGAGAAGGAGAGAGAAAGAGAGAGAGAGAGTGATAGATAGATAGATAGATAGATAGATAGATAGATAGATAGATAGATAGATAGATAGATAGATAGATAGATAGATAGATAGATAGATAGATAGATAGATAGATAGATAGATAGATAGATAGATAGATAGATAGATAGACAGATAGACAGATAGATAGATAGACAGATAGACAGATAGACAGATAGACAGATAGACAGATAGACAGATAGACAGATAGATAGATAGATAGATAGATAGATAGATAGATAGATAGATAGATAGATAGATAGATAGATAGATAGATAGATAGATAGATAGATAGATAGATAGATAGATAGATAGATAGATAGATAGATAGATAGATAGATAGATAGATAGATAGATAGATAGATAGATAGATAGATAGATAGATAGATAGATAGATAGATAGATAGATAGATAGATAGATAGATAGATAGATAGATAGATAGATAGATAGATAGATAGATAGATAGATAGATAGATAGATAGATAGATAGATAGATAGATAGATAGATAGATAGATAGATAGATAGATAGATAGATAGATAGATAGATAGATAGATAGATAGATAGATAGATAGATAGATAGATAGATAGATAGATAGATAGATAGATAGATAGATAGATAGATAGATAGATAGATAGATAGATAGATAGATAGACAGAATCCATTATTGTTACACTGCACATATCACAACAGAAGCCGAAGATTAACCATGTGATTATCACGAAGTCGAAGATTACCCTTCTATTATATATTAAATAGACTGAGGGATTAATTTTATATGATTGTTATGAAATTGTTTTATGTTGTATTGCAGAAGTGTTTCTGCGAGGGCAATATTGTCTACTGCAACTCGCTAGGACTGACCTCGATTCCGCCCTTGAGTCCGCCGGGAGATGTGCCCATCTCAGATCTTCAGTTTGACGTTAGTTATATTGACTGCATTATTTTTTTTCAATATTTTTTTTAATCGTGTAATTGTTCTTATATTTTATTAATATATCATTGTACCATAAGTCAGCCAGCCGCTCGTTCGACCATAATGAATCTGTTGAGAATATCACGAGTGTAGAAGAAACATGGCAAAGTACAGAGTCTCAGAAATATGGCTGCATGAATAAGTTTAAACTGTAGGGCAATTCTTCACAATTCTTGAAACTAACAATACACAAATGAAACTATTCTTGCTTAAAAGTAATATTTAAAGTGTAAAGTTTATTCAGAAAAGTAAAGTAGAGGACCCTTAGTGTTACACCTACATTTTACGGATCAATCGTCCCTGGGTGGACGATGTGGTCAGTATCACCCCGACCGCCTACACTTCAAAGGACTTTTCCCTGTACCCAGTTTTAGACTAGGTCGACCTGGAAGCAAATATCATTAGAAATTCCGACTCGATGTAGATTTGAACCCACGACTTTCGAGCACCCAAGTCAATCAGAATTACCCTCTACAACCCAACCAGCAGATGCTTAACAAGTGGCCCGCAGATTTGTCCTTTTCATATTGTAGTAATGGTCTTTCTAACATGGTGCTTAAACCTTCGGCCGGTGACGATCCCGGTTTTCAACGTTTGGACCCCGTAGTAAACTTAGTAGCGGCTGTCTCAACGGTTATCTCGCAGGGCTTTCAAGCGAGAGACCCGCGTTTGAATTCTCGGTAAGGTTTTGGAATTTTTCTGTCGAGAGGGCAACAATCAAATCTTAATCTCCACACTCCATAGCGACAGCAGCAGCCATGTGGCCTTAAATCCTTAGGTTCAAAGACCCCTCCAGCCTACACCGCAACAAGGGGTAAATAGCCACTAACAGCAATTTTTGGCAATAAAGCTAATAGCAAATTTAGGCACTAAAGCTAATGGCAGTTTTTAGAACTAAAGATTATAGCAGTTGTTGGCACTAAATCTAATAGCAGTTGTTGGCAATAAAGACAACGGCAGTTTTTGACACTAAAGCTAATCGCAGTTTTAGCACTATATCTAATAACAGTTTTTAGCACTAAAGCTAACGGCAGTTTTCAGCAATAAAGCTAATAGCAGCTGTTGGCACTAAAGTTAATAGCAGCTGTTGGCACTAAAGTTAATAGCAGCTGTTGGCACTAAAGTTAATAGCAGCTGTTGGCACTAAAGTTAATAGCAGCTGTTGGCACTAAAGTTAATAGCAGCTGTTGGCACTAAAGTTAATAGCAGCTGTTGGCACTATAGTTAGCAGCTGTTGGCACTAAAGTTAATAGCAGCTGTTGGCACTAAAGTTAATAGCAGCTGTTGGCACTAAAGTTAACAGCGGCTGTTGGCACTAAAGCTAATGGCAGTTTTTGAAACTGAAAGTAAAAATAGACTGAAGCTAAATATAATATAATAGCAGCAGTTTTTGTTGGCACTAATGGCAGTCTAATAAATATAATAGCAGTTTTGGCAGTAAATCTAATAGCAGTTTTTGGCAGTAAAGCAAATGGCAGTTTTTAGCACTAAACTTAGTTTAAGAGCCCTGCTGCAGCCTAATGTACTACATTTGTTGTCAAGGCGTAGTAGTATTTTCGGCTCACTCGGTATTTGGTGACAATTTCAGCGTTTCCTAACGTTGCATTTTAAAATATCTGTTCACAGGACAACAACATTACAGCCATACTGCCTGGTAGTCTACCAGCCGGCCTCACACGGCTTACCATCACCAACAACCCTATACAGACCATAGACGACATGGCCTTCACTGACGTAGCAACCACTCTACAAATGCTGGGTTTAACTTTAGCTCCCAGTTCAAGAATTCCCGATGCTCTGATGCATCTGGAGAGCCTTAATTTTCTAGACATCATCAACACTGATATCGTTGATTGGAATGAGAACGTGATGAAGTATCTGGCACCAAAACTAAATACGCTAACCCTGAGCAGTGTCAGTTTTCACACGTGGCCGGATTGGATTCAGTACTGCAAGCAGGTATCAGAGTTGGCGCTCGTTTACAGCTACCTACAATCTATCCCTGACAATGGACTGGACAGCATGGCCACAACTGTCATCAGCATGTCTCTTACTGGCAACAACTTAACCGCTGTTCCCAAAGCAATTTCCAACTTTACCAACATGACCGTTTTTGCTGTAGATAAGAATAAGATAAGAGACGTTACTTGGTTGCCTAAACAATGTAGGATGGATACTTTGGACGTAAGTAATAATAAAATTTTTAATGCGACCCAGTTAAGCGAGGCTTTGAGGCCTTATGCAGAATTTCTGGTTGAATTAGATATAGATCACAATGAACTGACGGAAATTCCTGATCTGCAATTCCTGACAATGGATAACTTTGATTTTTCTTTCAACAATATTTACGATCTTACAGCCGGTTCACTGCCATCGAAAGTTTCCTGGCTGAATCTTAATAACAATCTTTTAAGTTCGTTACCTCGTATGGTCTTGAGTTTACAGTTGTTGTCTACCCTATTGATGGAGTCAAACTTAGTAACAAGCCTGCAAGCTTCGACAATTCCTTCGACATTGCAGTACCTCAGCCTTCAAAACAACCTGGTCACCGAACTAACAGACGCAAGCTTTCCAGAAAATTCCAGCTTACTTTCTTTATACCTGGACAACAATCCTCTAACAAAAATATCCGATCTTGCGTTTGCGAATCTGGCTAAACTTCGGGAGCTGCATTTGAGCAGTACGAGACTAACTCGTCTACCCCTCGGTCTGCCCTCGCTGCACAGTATAACATTACTTGACGTCAGTGACATCACAGGGCTTGTCTGCACGTGCCTGGAGAAGGATTTAGGACCATGGATCAAGTCCTTGGCGTCAGAGATAGTTTTTGGAAATTGTGGTGTAATTAAAGTATACGACTTTTTTGCTTTGCTTAGTCCGGGGTGTCCAAGATGAGGAATTGTGTTCAAGCTTTGAAAAGGCTAAAACATTTCAGAAGTGATTAGAAATTTAGGGGTTTGAATGTAGTAGATCAGTCAATGACTGAACTTTTCTTATTGTCTGTACACGATGTTATGTTAGCACAGACAAGATTGCTACACGTCGGACAGTCTAAAAACTGCTCCAGTAGCGCCGGCACAAAGAAAACTTCGATACCTCATAATTTCAGCAAAAAGGTGGTGGGGGGGGGGGATGTCCAAAAGAGCCTAAGCCTTGCTAAATTGCACAAAATAGTAATTGTGATAATAATATTCGTTAGTATTATTATGAATATTATTATTACCCATAACTATTATTGTGCAATTAAACAAGACTTAGGTACCATTAGTATTATTATTCCAGTGTGGGTTCCATGGCACCGTTGTGGGGAAAACAAGAATAGACTTACTGCCCCCCTAACGAGATGCCGTAGGAGACGAATAATTCGGGGCTCTCTTTAAAATCGGAGTGCATATGCCGGATCGGGAAAACAACAAGCTGCTGCACACAGGTAAGCCAGTAAAACGGACGAACTCGCACAAATCAGGCCGTAGGACAAAGTAAAAACTGAAATGGACGATCTACTAAGACTTTCCTCCGGGGCTTACAACTGGTATACACACAAGAAGAAGATAAATAAGAAAATGGAGGAGGAGAAGAAGAAGAACAAAGAAGAAGAAGAAGAAGAAGAAGAAGAAGAAGAAGAAGAAGAAGAAGAAGAAGAAGAAGAAGAAGAAGAAGAAGAAGAAGAAGAAGAAGAAGAAGAAGAAGAAGAAGAAGAAGAAGAAGAAAAAAAAGAAAAAGAAGAAAAAGAAGAAGAAGAAGAAGAAGAAGCAGAAGAAGAAGAAGAAGAAGAAGAAGAAGAAGAAGAAGAAGAAGAAGAAGAAGAAGAAGAAGAAGAAGAAGAAGAAGAAGAAGAAGAAGAAGAAGAAGAAGAAGAAGAAGAAGAAGAAGAAGAAGAAGAAGAAGAAGAAGAAGAAGAAGAAGAAAAAGAAAAAGATGATAATAGTATAAAAGTAAATACGAATGCTACAACGTTATACGTAAAATTGGTGGTTTGGGAAAGCACAAAAAAGGGGAGCGGGGACGACAAGGGACTTAGTCATTGGGGCATTTATTATTACTTTTGTTATTGTTATGTGCTTAACAGATAATAAACAAAAAGTATATTTGAAATAAAATGAAAATGTATACAAAAATAGTTTAGCATGAGCGTGTCAAAGATGTTTATGAAATAAAAAAAAAAAAAAAGGTGGAGGAGGGAATTTAGTCTTCTTAAATATTTCAAGGCGCGTAAGAGGGAGAATTTGGGTCCCTCTCTTACAAATATTGGGGGGAGGGGAGGGGAATTGTCCTCATGCTATTTTGAAAAGTGTGTGGGAGAAAGGGGGGGGGGGGGGGGAGGTCATGTTGCGGGAGCACAATCTTTCAGACGCCTATAGCGGACTCTGCCCTTCCATACAGCAGCCAATCCACGGTACCTCTACTGAATGTTTTCATGAGAAGTTTTAGTAAGGCAATGGTAAACGTATTTGACAGAGTCGACAGACAATTATTATGGAAAGTAATGGCAAGATATGGAATAAGCGAACACCTCATCGAAGTGTGCAAAAGTTTATACAGGGATTGTAGAAGTGTCTTCTTCTTCTTCTGTCTTTCTATCCCCCAATGGAGCATAGGCCCTCAACCAACTCACGCCAAGTCATTCTATCCTTCGCCATTGCATGGAGCTCTCCCCATGTCCTCCCAATTTTTCTAACCTCGTTCCCCAGCTCTCTTCTCCATGTGTTTTTTGGCCTTCCTTTATTCCTATGCCCCTGTGGGTTCCAATGCAAAGACATTCTGGTAATGCTGTTCTCCTGTTTTCTCAGTGTGTGCCCTATCCAACGCCAGCGTCTTTTCCTCACTTCCCGATCCACTGGAGCCTGTTTAGTTCTCTCCCAAAGTTCTACATTAGTTATTCTATCATACCATTTTATTCCCTCTATATTGTGCAGGCACCAGTTAATGAATGTCTGTAATTTATTAGTAATTGCCTTGGTTGTTCTCCATGTTTCCGCCCCATACAATAGTACTGATTTGACATTAGAATTAAAAATTTTTAGTTTAGTATTTCTTTTAATTTCTTTTGACCTCCACAAATTCCCTAGTGCTTTAAAGCCCCTCTTGCCTTTTGTATTCTTATTTTAATATCTCTATCAGTTCCTCCATCTTTATCTACATTACTGCCTAATTAGGTGTACGACTCCACGTCTTGGAGTGGGGTGCCATTAAGAGAAACCACATTACTATTTGCCTGATTTATTCTCATTATCTTTGTCTTTCCTTTATGGATTTTCAGACCAAGCTGCTGTGATCTCGCATTAAGTATATTTAATTTATCTTGCATCTGATTCCGTGAATGGGACAGAAAAGCAATATCATCAGCGAAGTCCAGATCATCAAGCTGTTTTGTAGGGGTCCACTGAATTCCATTCTTGGTGTTAGCAGTTACTGTTTTCATAGTCCAGTCTATCATTCATTCATTCATTCAGTAGCATGTCCCTCGCGGAACCTCGCTGCCATAACAACCCTCCGGAAAACCTTCCTATCCTGAGCAAGATGTCCTGCGTCTGATAGACCCATCTGGAGATCATCTGCCACATCCTGCACCCATCTTCTCCTTGGCCTTCCTCTTCCTCTCTTCCCAGGCATATACCCCTCCATTATTGTTCTCTCTAGACTTCCGTGACGTTTCAAGTGACCAAAATATTTCAATTTTCTTTGTTTTATTGTCTTTACTAGCCAACCCTCTTCAATATTCAGCTCTTGAAGTATGGATGCATTTGTTCTTTTCTTTACCCAAGATATTCTTAGAACCTGTCTGTAACATTTAAAAATAAAATAAAAATAAGTAAAAATAAGAGAGGCGACAAAAGACATCCCTGTCGCACACCTGTTTTTATTTCAAATGCATCTGTTAGCTTTCCCTCATGAAGAACTCGACATTTCATGTCTTTATATGTTGCCTTTACTAAGCTGATAATTTTCTGTGGGATTCCATAGTGCCCCATCAATTTCCAGAGAGAGAAGTGTAGTTAGAATAAATCAGGGAACATCTCATCCTTTCACAGTGACATCTGGAGTAAGACAGGGGTGTGTCTTATCACCACTGCTGTTTATCACCTACATCGACAGTATATGCAAGAATGCCAAGCCCATGAATGAAGATCTTAGTAAGATCAACGAATTACTCTTTGCAGATGACCAGGCCTTGATAGCAGATACAGCCATGAAATTGCAACAACATCTAACATCCATGAATGAAGAATGTAAAACAAATAATATGAGAATCAACACTTAAAAGACAGAAGTAATGTCAATAGGAAAAAAGAAGACAGATCTAAACATAGCAATAGAATACAAAGGCATTAAGCAGGCATCTGAGTTTAAATATCTGGGAACTACATTTACCGAAGATGGGAAATTGGATAAATAAATTGACATTAGATGCAGTAAAGCAAACCAAGTATTGGGACAGCTAGCCCCCTCTTACAGCATAAGACAATCCCAATCAGCACAAAGAGACATCTTATTCAAAGCATATTTATTCCAACTCTGTGCTACCAGTGCCAGACATGGTCACTCACAACAAACCATAAAAGAAAATTAGTAACCACGGAAATGAGATGTCTGAGAAGGGCTGTAGGAGTGACCATAAGAGATAAGATCAGGAATGAGATCATAAGAGAACAAGTCGGCACAGAACCAATTCTGGATTACATACAAAGACAGCAAGTGAAATGGTTTGCCCACTTAGAGAGAATGCCTTGTGACACCATACCATACAAAGCATACGTGGAAAGAGAAGAAGGACCAAGAACAAGATGGAAAGATAACATTAGAGAAACTCTACAACAGCACGATGTGCCTATGGTCGAGGCAGCCAGAAGAGCTAGAAACAGAACCTTATATCTCCCTCGACACCCACAGCGGTAAAAGAGGAAGTGAAGAAGAAGAAGAAGAAGATTGGTAAACGTAAGTTACGAACACATTCCATCATTCCTTGTCTGTTTGCGGTCTTCTTGGGTAGTGTTATGTTCAGTCAATTATCACTGCCCTGTGAACGGTTAGGCCGTCATACCATTGTCGACGTTAACGTGACTGACGCAGTCTGCGGCACAATCGTCGTGCGGCTGGATCCAGCGAGGTATGTTCAACCGTGCACAACGACAGCACACAGAGCGATTAACTCCCACTGTCAAAAGATAGCACCACTAGGATGAGAATCCATCAGTCGCAAGTCCCAAAACCTCCGTTCAACCGTAAAGTTATATTAGGGCCCCTGATGACGGTTACGTAGCAGCTTGGTCCAGCCAGGGTGGGTCTTTAACATCCCCCAACAACCCCCAGTGTGTGCCTCATAAAGAAACATTTTTTTTTTTTTTTAATATATATAGCAATAGGACCTAGCCAGGTGTGTATAGCAATAGGTTAGTTGCGTATTCTTTACAGGACGTTGCAGAACCAACCCCAGCAGCCCCTCTGCTGTTGTGTGGTTTCTCTAAGCAAATTTACGTCCAATAGTTTGCCACTGCTTCCTGGACGGTCGGCCTCTTGATACCACTGTCGAAACCAACGCAAGGCGCATGGCCCGCAGCTGGGATCAACCCGGCACCCCGGCATTACGAAGCGTTCGCATCGACTTAGCCACAGAAACGACATAAAACAATAACAAGACTAATGTCTCGAGAGATGACGATCACATTTTGCGTGTATTAGATTCAACTTCAATAGAGATTGGTTCGCCGGTAGACGACATCGTAGATGGTCGGGACAGTATTTAGATCTGTCTCTTTGATCGCATCAACACTAGAGGAGCCTTTTTCAGGGTTCTTGGTGGCGGGCAGTGCTGAGCCATTTTATCTGGCGCACATAACCTAGTCACAATTATAACCTAAAGCTCTCCTTCAGGGATACTTGTTGTACGTGACTAT